TTATAGTTTATAATATTATACTATAATATACTAAATTATAAGTAGCTAATAATTAATATATCATTAATTAGCTAACTTTAGTATTCTACTATTAAATTAAAATAAAGTATTATTTAGTAGTTATATAATACTATATTAAAAGTTAATATAACTTCTAAAAATAAATAAAATAATAATAAAAGAAAGTAAATAAATAATTTAAAAAGTAGCTAAATAATCTATAGAGGCCTTATATATCTACTAATAGTAAAAAAAGTAAAGAAAATAGATAAAAGGGGATATTTTTAATGTAATAATACTTTTTATAACTACTATAGATAGACTACGCGGGCACGTAATTCGGAATTGTACAATATTGATCCATGTCTCAGCTACCGGAACTAGAAAAGTTTCCAGGGGCTATAAATGATTTTTAATGCCGGGTATCGAAGTTGAGCAACGCCGTACCACGAAATCAGTCTATTGGTCTCCCGCGGGGAAACTGGCATCGCCCATCTTTATGTAAAGAAGGGTTATAAGTTCAATCTGTCGATCGTCATTCGCCTGTATCTTCTAGCCACGATAGAGTAATTAATTATCAGCGACTCCGCGGCCACGGCACCAAAGTTCATTTCCAAAGATAGTTGATTATAGTCAACAAAAGAGCATTAATGCACCAAGCGTCGGGAACAAGGCATAATGCAATATCAGTGCGAAGTCCACTGAATTCAAACATTAATTATCCGCAATATTTTTCATTCTCACTGAAATACTTTTCATATGAAGGTCCAAAATCGGTCCTTGTTGTGGTTTTGATATTCGCACAAGGTCGACGGTATAAAACTTCGCTGTGACATCAGGGGTTGTTTCTCTCTCCTTGAGTAGACTGAATCCTTGCCTGAGTGTTTGCTCACATAGACCAAGCACTTGTAGTAATTTAGCCTTGCCGGATAAGCGAGCACTATCTTCTGAATGATTCATGCTAGTTTCTCGCGCCTCCTGACAGCATTCTTTAAGTTGGTCAACAATATCCTCCAGGCCTTGGCCTTCTGGCAAAGGCACTGAGAGCTTGCCTAGTTGAGTGCGAGATTCAAAATTAACTGAGCAGGGAAGTGTCGGAGTAGTTGCCTGTCCCACTTCAGTGTCAATATGTCCTCGGAGGCCAGGGTATGTATGGACGTATGTCAGGTGCTGCTCCGGCGAGAGTATGAGCAATATGTAAGACTCGAACTTTGGCTTCCTGATCAGGTGGTAGAGCGCCGGAAGCATTGTGTCTTCTGTGCCCGGGGATTGATAACTCGTTAGGTACAAGACGGAAGATCAATATATATATATGTATATGCTTATTGAACGGTGTGGTAACTACTTACTATCTTTTGGGTATCTCCCACACTGTTGACTGACAAGGCTCGTGCGTTTCGTTGTCGGGTAACTAGTTACATCCGCTGCCTTGTGTAGTTGTATTGAGGGTGGATTCCCCATAACTATTCCATGAACTCCAGATATTTTAGTCTGTAACAACAGCTTCAATGAGAATGCTAACGATCTTCCCATGCACAGTTAGGCAACTAAATTAAGTCAACGCGAGTTTCGTTCGGTTCCATGCCAACGGAACACGGGCTCGGTAGTTAGCTACTAACAAGGTAACTAGTTAACTAGCTATAAATACTCACTAAAGGCCATCAATCACTAAATACCGAAGCATCGCTTTTTTCAAGCGGAGTTCTTCTTAATGATGGACCAAAAGCAAAAGCCACATCCTCATTTGGCGGCTAGTTCAGGTTCCAGGCTGGACTCGCCGCGCCTAAAACATCCTTGATGCTTGTCCTTCACGACTCCAACCGTGAATGGACAGGAGAAAGCGACAACATATGTGCTATATACGGCTCTCCGCCGCCTTGAATGCCATGACTCCCGCTTAAGCACATCCCTCTAGTTCTGGACTGCTGATATCCGAGAGTGAAACCGGGTGTGCGATATCCTAGGGCTGTTAGTCGAAGCAAGACTTGCAGGCCACGGCACTCCTTACTGGTTTTCGCGTCTTCCGGCTTCCGCCCTGCTAGTGCGCCGCCCCGGCTGACGATGATCAATGACAACGAGCCAGCGCGGCGAAGCTGATGAGCTGTTCGAGCTTCGGCTTCTTTGCTGCGTCTTCGATATCGCCTTTTTTTCGTCGAGTTCGGCGATTGGACTTTCGACTTCCCTTTTGAGCACCGCCATCCAAGATCCCGTGATGGCAGAATCCAACCGTATATATTCTTACTCAACGTCGTTCTTCTCTTGTTGTCGATGTTTTGTTCTTCACCTCTATCACTTATACTACCCTACGACCTAGAGAAAGCTGAGTGTAGCTGTCTGCTCCGACTCACAAGTCCCCGTTCTTTCGCTGTTGGTTATAAGCTGGCCCACTGAGAGTGTTATTGGTGGACAATAGTCATTCGTTTAACGCTGGTAAGTCTTGGTGAACCACAGCTGTTCAGTTGAGTTTATTAACCACGAGTAGATGCAGTGGAGCTTTACATTCCCTCCCGTTGATTTCAGAATCCAGGTAGACATGGAGAACGCCCCGGTACACACCAATGTCTACGCTCCTTTCTTCAGCTTGATGATCTGGCTTGCATCGACACTGGTAGCAGTCCTGCTCTTCCGCAGGGTCAGAGCTGGGTACCTTGAATTTCTCTCCCTAGGACCCGGCGGGACGCCTTCTACTCCCATGGGATACCTCCGGGTATGCTTATTGAGCATCTTTGCCCTTCGGAACCCCTTTAAACCACCACATATACCTGAGACATTAAACCCTAAGACTGGAATACTCAAATATAGACTGGAATACTCAAATATCTGCCTACTCGTACCGGAAAACGCCCAAAAGTTGCAGGAATCATTCCTCATAGACAAGTCACACAACAAGCCACACCCGACATGTACGCTGCTCTTAAAGAAGAAATAAAAAAACTTGCCCTCTCTAATTCTGATCGGCTTTATGAGGGAACGTCATGCTTCGAGAAGCATAGCATTGGTCTCTTCACTCCTCTCGACTTACCGAATAGAGTTACATGTAATGGAGAAATATGCCACGCCCACCCCATTGATGGGAGCATTCATATGACTCTTCATCCAGCAGATGTCAAGTTTGTCATTGAACGGGGATGGGGTGAGCGGCACCCGCTTGCTCGAGATAGCTGGTGGTGGATGTTTAGGCTTGTACCTACGGGGTTTGTCATGATATACGCTCCCCGCTCGAAGGAGGAGTTGGACAGTGTGGTTCAAATCATCCATGCTGCTTCTTGGTGGGTGAATGGTATTGAACCGCGCTGGTCTACACCTGCGAACAGCAGTCGGTGTGGGGTCGATGGGGGAGCTGGTTTTATCAAATCTCAAGTTAGAACCTAACTGTCGATTTCTTCAGCGCCGATGATATGACTGGCTCATGGTATTTTCGGGAGTAACCCCTTTTCCTAACCTTTCATCATGTATATTTACCCTCCCTTCATAACGAATTACCTAAGGCCGTTAACTAGGTACCTAGTTAACACCAGAAATTGAAACGCCATTTCATTGTTAAACTGCTTCTAAGTATGGGATTCTAGTGCTAGTTCCCTGAAGTTGCAAAACATGAGCTGTCTGTATCTTGGGAAAACAACAAAATGACCATTCCATGATTTACCCAAAGTTCCAGGAAGTTTCAAGCCAATGGAGATCAAAAAACCTCTCCCTAAAGAAACGGCTGAGGAAACTCCGAAAAATGAGGACTCTTTCGAGAAGAAATCCCAGGTTCCGCCTCATAATACCTAGTATTGATCACTGTGATATTGAGAATGTGGGTTGAACAGAGAGTATCTATGCAAATTCTAGGTCATCAACCTGCGGATACAAATAATATTCGGTTAGTGAGTGAAGTAAAAGGCTGTGCAAGTTATATGGCGTTCTCACCTTGGTACGCTTGCTGTCTTCCGGCACAACACTGCTGGTACCGGTTCGTTTGGTTACTCGGTGATGGAGATAGAAGAATTGGTGGTTAACAGGCCTATTGGTGCGTCGAACACTAGTATCGCTGCCACCAGTTATAGACTCTGATCCCTCTCTGTCGGGGTCGGTGAGAGTATCATCTGAATCTCCCTCTGGCTGGGTAGTTGGTGGCTCTGTTGGATCATCTGTTTCGATGCTAGGGTATATGATCGTGTCATTATCCTTGTCCTCCTCGTCATAGTCCAGTTTGGCGTCCACATTGTGACTTTTATTGTTAGATTCTCCAGAAGAGGATAAAGAGTAGAGTGAGTTTGAGTAGTTTGGGCTATGTGGAGGTGAGAGGGATGAGAGTGACAAAGGACCAAACTCTGGCTGCTCCAGGCCTGGAGAAGGAGAGTAAGTCACGGACTGAACTGAGCTGCAGTATTCATCTTTGTCTTCTTCCCCCTCCTCGTCATCTGAATGGGCTGTCTGCTGATAAGGCCCGAAAGAGTCGCAGTAACCTATATCCGGTAGATATCCGAAAGCCTGATTAGTGTTCTCTGAGGAATATGAGGAACACTCTGAATCTGATCCATGGACTCTGTGAGTTCCCTTGGGATATAAAGGAGCCCAGCCGGGGAACCCCCTAGCCATGCGAAGGGCTGTTGGAGAGATGTTGAACATGTTATACCTCTCAGATAGAGTGGTGGAATCTGAGGCAACGCTTTCACCATCCTCAGCGCCTTCGGTCTCATCCTCAAAGGAGTCTCCGTACAGATCAGTGAAATCTTGGTATGCATCGCGGTATTGTTGGGGAGTGTGTCCTGGTGATCCAATCTGTTCTGCCGCCACGTTGATAAGTGAATATTTCTCGACGCGGGTTTCCTGTTGGTTACGAGCATAAGCCTCGAGCTTTTCAGACGCGACGTCGAGCTTAGCTAGAAATTTTCTCTTCTCGTCTCGCTGCTGTCTTTTGGACTTTGGTCTGCAGCCCGCTGAGATGCAGCTTGCCATAATGAGCTGAGACTCGGAGGTGCAATAAAGGGGAAATGGATATGAAGGGAAGCCAGATCTAGCTTGGTAGATATGGCTTTGTAGATGGAGAAAGAAACAGAGAGAGAGAGAGAGAGAAGAGGAATAACTGCTTATTCCTCTGGGTAGGAGAACAGCCTGTTGGCCTGAGAAGGGTTGGACAAATATCAGACACAACTTGTGGAGGGGGGAGTCATGAGAAAGAACAGCTGCTGGCTGGGCAACCAAAATGATGTGTTTTTATAACCATGACTAGACAGTGTTGCGCCGAGACAGAACATAGTAGCCATGTTCATGCCATACCCATAGGACAGGAGAGGCAAAGGGGAGCTGTCGAACTTCTCAGCAGGTAGCTGGTTCTGGTATCAGGGGAGTGGAGGAGCTGCAAGAAGAGGCAGATAGACCATAATAAGTTTAATATTCTTTTACAGTTTGGACCAGGTCTATAGAAGCCAGAGCAGTGGGAAGGTACGGGCAGGGGTAGAAACATCTGTAGATATATACGTCAACAGGGGGGAGAGAATATGGATGCGTAGGTATCATTCTTTTGATAAAACCAGGAAACATCAAGAAGGGAAGGGGGTGAAAACAGGATATCAACATAGAGATGGTATCTCCTGCATGACTATAAAAGACAATGCAATTCCATAGAAAAAAGGAAAAAGTCATGTCTGTAGGAAAAGGGAATGGTATTGTAGATATGCAATAAGGAAAGCATAAGAGTCCTTGCACCTAGACACCTTTTTTTTTCTCATTTAGCCTGGATGTTGCAGTTATCAAATATGTAAAGTGGCAAGGGGAATAAAGGGGGAGAAGTGAAAAAAAAGGGAGAACAGGAGAAGGAAAGGAAGACAGCATCAGGCAGACAGCTGATGACAAACATGGAAGAAAGCTGAGGACAAGCAAGAAAATGAGATGATTTGGTAAGAAGCGTTTGTTTTCACACAGGACATCAAGGAGAAATAGCAACAAGACCTATGAAAAAACAATGTCCTGTGTCCCAAGCCTCCCTCCATGTTTCTGCACCATCATGATACAACAGTAATGTCTGCAGAGATAAGGATTTCATATTAACCATTAAATAGAGAGGCATTTACTCGTAACCAGCCTTCTTCAGGGCGCCGGCGAGCCATTCGAGGCCCTCGTAGAGACCATCTCCGGTGGTGGCACAGGTAGATTGGATGTACTAGGCTGTGTTAGTCAGGAGGTTTAGAGAGAAAAGCATCACGAGACTTACCCAGGCACGTCGTGTCAAGGTCTGTAGACCAAGCTGTGAGGTGATCTCGGCAGGGCTCATGGCGTTCTAACCGTCAAATTAGTACCTGCGAATATGTATGGACATTGGTTTAAACATGTGACTTACGGGGAGATCCTGCTTGTTGGCGAAAACGAGAAGCAAAGCATCCCGTAGTTCGTCCTCGTTGAGCATCTTCTGCAACTCTTCTCTGGCCTCGACGACACGGTCACGATCGTTGCTGTCGACGACGAAGATGATACCCTGGGTGTTCTGGAAGTAGTGTCTCCACAGTGGTCGGATCTTGTCCTGACCACCGACATCCCACACGGTGAATTGAATGTTCTTGTACTCGACGGTCTCAACGTTGAATCCTACGCCAGTCAGTACTTCTTTCTTTCTTCTGACTTGATGTATTGAGTGACATCTCGAGTATTGGACCTACCGATGGTGGGGATGGTTGTGACAATCTCGCCAAGCTTCAGTTTGTAGAGGATGGTGGTCTTTCCGGCAGCATCGAGACCGACCATAAGAATTCGCATCTCCTTCTTGCCAAACCATAGCTTATCAAGCATTTTCGAAAATGACATACCCATCTTGGCGGTGTTGATGGACTTTGCGGTGGGCTTGAGAGGGTAGAAAGGTGAGCGAGCGAGAGGGGAGCGGAAAAGTAAGGGAGAGTCGGGTTTGCCTGTGATTGCGGTCAGCCAGCGAACGCGTAAGCCTGAAGACAGCGGTGTCGACCGTTCTGCCTATCGAGCGGCGGCAGATGGTAAACAGGACAGACGAGGAGACGAGAAGAGCGGGCTATCAACGGTTGGGTGGTTGTTGTTGGGTGGTGGTGGTCGGGTGGTTGCTCTGGTGAAGCGGTGGGATGGCCGAACAAGACACCTTTTCACAGGGGGGCCAGGCGAGAGTTTTCTTTTTTAACCTCGCCCTTTTTTTTTTTCCTCTATTACTTACAGGACGCAAAGATGAGGGAGTCCGGGGGATAGGGTGAGGTGCGCGCTGACTGACAACGCCGGTGGTATCTCTCTGGCTGGCCGTCTGGCTGTCTAGCTGTCGGTCTCGTTGGTGGTGGTGGTGGTGGTGGTGTTGTCGGTCGCTTTGGCGATGAGAGGAAGAAGGAAGAGGAGTTTTTGGTGGCAAGCAAGGCTCAACTAGGAAAGGCGCCAAAAAGGAAAAAAAATTCCCCAGGCAAGACAACGTGACTTTTTGGCTTGGGTCGCAGCGACAGTTGGCGACGACGGCGGTGGGAACGGCGGCAGACTCTATAGAGACGACAAAGGACGACGAAGAGCATGCGAAGGGATGATGGGAGCAAGGAACGAGGAAGCGTTTGGCGTTCGTTATATAACTGCGGTGGCTGGAAAGAGGACAGGTTAGCTGGTTTGCGACTCCAGGCAACAGGATTCTGCGGGCGTTAGCAGACGAAGAGCCGCTTGTTGCTTCTTCCAGCCGTTGGTCGACGGACAGATGGATGATCAGCTAGTCGACGAGGTTAATTCACTAGGCCGGGGAGACTGCATTGGGATGTTTGCTTCTCGACGAGTAGTCGGTTGCTGGTGCTGGTGCTGGTGCGCGTCCTCTGTAGATGTAGAGGTATAAAGCACGGAGATAGGAGACGGTCACCACAAGGATTACCAGGCCCTTCCTTTTACATATAATGTCCCTGAATATCAAGGCAGTAGATGTAGATGCGGATGTCGATGTGCAGATCTCGAGATACCAATTACCTGCATTGAGAGAACCGGAGACAGCTCCTCACAGCATCTGACCCCCAGACTCGGACCATCTAGTCATCCACTCGAGTCATATCGATCTACCATTACAATCCTACTTCCTACAACTGTTAAATATATCGGTTCCACGATCCTGGAATCGGGGCCCCCGGGTTGACGGTTCCACTGAAAGTGGAATGACTCCGTTGAGATCCCATCCTTGCCCTGGATAGTTATCATGAGTCACTCTTAAGCCAATACGACCATGGGACAAGCATGCCTAAGTATAAAGACGATGAAGTTCCCTTGACATGTACCAACAATTTAATCGCCATGTCCGTGTCTCAATCAACAATCAAAGTATCACTTTTATCCATTGATAAGTCAAAGAGGGCCAGCAAGATGGAAATACTTCAAGTACCTAAGGGTCCAGTTGCCCCTTCAGACTTAGTGGCCCTTTGCAGCCGATACCGAACTGCTCGGCTGAGAGCTCTGAAGACATACCCAGAGGCGTTCAGCTCCAAATATGAACGTGAGAGCGCCTTCACAGACGAACAATGGGCCCAAAGACTTCAGAACCCAATGTCAAGAACCTTTGTTGCCGTCTGCGTTGATCATGTCACAGAAGCTCCGTCCAATGTAGAGGATGTGGAAAAGCTAAAGAGCAATGAATGGGTGGGCATGGTTGTCCTGCTGGGCCCTAAAGTGGTTGGGCCGAGTATGAAATATGCCTGGGACCCGTTTCTGTCCATGGCCTGGATGCAGCCTGATGATGAGCGCGACTTTAACGATGCCGAAGCCGCGACTTTTGCAGTCTCGATGTTTGTCTTACCGGAGGCGGCTAGGCGTGGTGTTGGGAAGATGCTGGTTTCGAGGATGATGGACTCTGCGAAGGAGGATGGCAAGAGGAAATCGATTGGCAAGTTACATGTCAGTCTGATAGTCGAGAGGGATAACGACGCCGCTATCCGGCTGTATGAGAGATGCGGCTTCGCTCATGTTGATGCTGGGCCTGATCTTGATGGTGTAGGTGACCGCCCTGTGCCGCCGCTGGGAATGGTTTGCTCTTATGTCTTATGACTTCATTGACTTCTTTTCCTTCTTTTTTCTTTATCCTTAATCGTCCTGTATAATTTAGACCTGTCCTTGAACGAATCTTAGATTAAATACCTGATATACCTACTTAGTGTAGATATCAGGGGGGCTGGCTTATCTACACGTGACTTTATCAACCCTAATCTAATGCGGCTAGCGCTTAGGGCTTCCCACATTTCGATGCGCAAAAAGCCAAAAGAAGGAAAAAGCGACTTCGAGATTGGAAAAAAAACTTCCGGTCGACAACGCGCAAATCCTCACCATAAGAATTCTTTCAAGTATTCTTCTGGAAGACTGTTCTCATCATGTCTAAAATCACAGTCGGTACGTTTGGAATCACTGTTGGATCACAAGTGTTCGATTATAGGAAATAGAAGGAGCAAATTGGCTAACGAGGTTGACGAACAGCCGGAGTGCGTACCAACGTCCAGCAGCTCCTGGACTACTCTCACAATGAGAAGAAGAGAAACTTCGTTGAGACCGTCGAGCTCCAGATCGGCTTGAAGAACTATGACCCTCAACGTGACAAGCGTTTCTCCGGCACTATCAAGCTGCCAACCGTCCCTCGCCCAAGAATGAGCATCTGGTACGATATTGCAAAGGCGATAAGAGAAAGATTAATGGGAATAAGTGGCTGACGGGATGGACAGTGTTCTTGGTGACCAGCACGATATCGACCGTGCTAAGCATCTCGGCGTCGATGCCATGTCCTCCGATGACCTGAAGAAGCTCAACAAGAACAAGAAGCTCATTAAGAAGCTCGCTCGCAAGTACGATGCTTTCCTTGCTTCCGACGCCCTTGTCCGACAGATTCCTCGTCTCTTGGGTCCCGGTCTCTCCAAGGGTGAGTACTCCCATATTAGAATCTTCAGGTATGAAGACAGGTCGACTAACTTGACAATAGCTGGTAAATTCCCTACCCCCGTCTCCCACAACGAGGATCTCTCCAACAAGATGAACGACGTCAAGTCCACCATCAAGTTCCAGCTTAAGAAGGAGCTTTGCTTGGGTGTTGCCGTCGGCAACGTTGGTATGACTGAGGATGAGCTTATTGCTAATATCATGTTGGCTATCAACTACCTCGTCTCCCTGCTCAAGAAGGGCTGGCAGAACGTTGGAAGTCTTACTATCAAGGCTTCCATGTCCCCACCAAAGAGAGTGTACTAAGCTTTTGTTAGTTTGGTTCTAATCTTTGAAAATAAAAATCAATAACTCAGAATATGATGAGATTTATGATCCCGCTATTTTCTTTAACGTGTCCTGCATGCCGTAGTTGAATTGTAGAAGTACAATATTATAGTATAAATACAAAGTGGAAAAGGTACAGGTTGTGCCCAGTCTACTCTATTCCATTCCCTCCATATGATCTGTCTTGTCCAAAATCATCCCTCTCATCCCAATAAATTCACGCAGCGACTCCCATTCTTCTCCTACTTCCTCGCCTCGCATAAGCGGATCACTGAAACCCCAAGTCTGTGCAACTCGATCCAAGGCCTGGCGTTCCTCCTCCCGTAGCCAACGACTTCGTAAAGCAGTACCGGGAATCCACACAACTCTCCTCATATGGTCGTTTGAAGTGGCTGCCGCAACTAGCCCGACAGAAGCGGTAAAGGTAACGTATGCAAGAATGGCGGAGAAGGCTATCCCCCTGGCCGTAGACACGTCCATGGTATTCTGGAGAGTTGAAAGGTATGATGCTATTGCCCATGCTGCTGGTGGTGTAGCCACTACACCTAAAAACGGAAACGATGCTTGTCGGATGATTTTCGAGCGATAGAATGCTGGCGTGCAGAATGCCGTGTCTATGATAGCGAGAGCCAGTGAGAGGTTTCGTTGTTCCATGGCTACTTCCAGAGCATCATTGGCAATGGTGGGAGGAATTGCATTTTGTGGGCTTTTGGGGTTGGATGGGCTATATGTTATTGTCCCACCGCTTGACCGTGGGGATGGCTTATTAGCGTAAAGGGTGAAAATGGTGGGTATATAGTCTGCTTTTTTGAGCTGGCATTGGATCGAGGTGTAGAGTTTCAGTATCTCTGGCGATATAAACACTTTCGGGTCTTGTAGCAACTCGTTTAACTTATTCGATATAGCGGTAGCTGACGTAGATATTGGGGGTTCCTTCTTTTGTGTCTGAGACGTCTTTCGCACTGCCCCTGCCTCTTCTTCGTCATCTAGGTTGAGAAGAGAGGATATAGCGTCCTTCTTCGGTTTGGTGTCTGTCTGCACTTCCGCTGCCTCAACCGATTGAACTGCATCAACTATGGCCTGGCTTTTCTTTAGGATTTCAATGACTGACTCCTCCGAGGGTATTGTTGTACCCGATATTATCGCATCACTCTCAGCTATGACATCTCGAACGGACGAATTGTCGTGGGTCGCCGGCTGTGCCGCAGCTATAGTAGATGAGTATCTATATCTCAACTCGTTCCGCCCTAAAACCGGTCTTCTGCCGTTGAATATATCGCATGGCTTCTTCCTCGAGGCCACTGCGCGCGGTGAAAAGGCCGTAAACCTCCGTGAAATCGAGGACGTAGAAAAGGCGCAGAGCTGGCAGAGCGAGCCCTGAGCTCGCCTTGAAGCTTGCAGACCTATTTGCTTCATGGCCAATACCTTCCGGCCGCTCAATTGCTGCTGTCTTCTGCCTCGTCTCTGCCCCGTCGTCTTGTCTTCCTGTCGCTGTTGAAGATGTCAAAAAAAGAACATTGCTTATGTAAGAGACCTGCACCGCCACAAGCGCCCATCGTCACCAAATCAACCTTACAGCAACACCAGCATCAACCAGCATCAGGCATCTCCTCTGGCGGTATTTTTGACGACTTAGACGCGCAAGACGTCGTCAGCCAGCAACATTTTCTTCGACATCCGGAAGAAGATTCATATTTGCCTAGCCGAACAGGCAGAAAGGATAGTCTACGACCAGGTACAAAAAGGACGACTACCGCCCCCTTCGGACGGCCGCTATATGATTCAACCATCTTCTCAACGGCGTCACATCTCGCCTTTCTTCAGCTGAATAGTCACAACTCTTGCACTTTGTCGCAAAGATGCCTCCACCTCCCCCTCCCCCTCCGCCGCCGCCGCCGATGCCTGGGAAGGCTGCCGGGCCTCCCAAGGGTGGTCCTCCAAGGGTATGCAACCTGTATCGGTCACCTATGCCAATCAGGCTGATAGACGAGACTGACATATGAAAATAGACTGCTCTCCTTTCAGATATCTCCAAGGGTACAAAGCTCAAAAAAACCGTTACAAATGACAGATCTGCACCTCTTATTGGAAAGACATCCGGAGGCTCAGGAGGCCCTCCTGTTGCTGGTGCCCCGCCGGTTCCGGGAATGGCGCCTAAACCACCAGGCGGACTTGCCCCCCCGGTCCCCGGAGGCGCTGCGAACAGACTGAGAAGCAACAGTGCTGGGAATGAACGGTCCGGAGGTGACGATGGTGTCCCATCTGCGCCGCAGCTAGGCGGTTTGTTCGCGGGCGGAATGCCTAAGCTTAAGAAGCGCGGTGGTATAGATACTGGTGCCTCTTCGAATGCATCGTATCTGTCGGACTCCGAAGCACAGAGTAGCTCGAGGACACCACCTCCTTCAGGAGCCGCGCCTAAACCTCCAATACCATCGAACAAAGCACCTACTTTTCGTCCATCTCCTCCGCCATCTACAGAAGCCACGTCTACACCCCCCGTTAATCCACTGGTAGCCAATCTCCGAAAACCACCACCCCGGCCGGCTCCAAGACCATCATCCTCAATCTCAACACACTCAACTAAGCCAGATGTACCTCCGCCGCGCGCACCACCTCCAGTGCCAGGATCGAGCAGGCCACCACCGCCTCCTCCCGCTCCTCCCGCCTCGAGAAAGGTCTCTGCGCCTGCCGCTCCTCCTCCCCCTCCTCCATCAACATCTCCCGCTCCTCCGCCACCTATAGCACCACCCCCTCCGCCATCAGCAGCACCCAGGCCACCCCCAGTACCTCCTCCAGGCCCTTCAGGCGCGAACGGGCCACAAGCTTCGTCGATAGCAATGCAGGCTGCGCGCAATGCATACGGGTCCCCGGCAGCGCCGCCTCCGCCTCCTCCACCATCAGCTCCTGCGGCTCAACCACCACCTCCACCAACTTCACCTCCTTCATCAGCACGAACATCCTCCCTCGTATCAACGCCACTCTCTTCTCGCCCGTTCTCTTTTTCAGATAATCAACACACCGCACCACATCACCAACCTCCCGTACGCTCTATGCTTGACCCAAGCACTTATACCCTCACTAACGGTGGCTCTCATCGACCCGGTGCTCAAAAGGGCTCGTCCCATGGTAGGATAAGGATCGAAGACCCCCGGTTTAAATTTCAGAACGAATCATTGTTCCCTAAGCCGAGAGAATTCATAGGCGGCCAAAAGATGTACAGGGCCGGCAGAGGTAGCAGTGTACCCTTAGACCTAACGTCTTTGTCATGAAATGAGACTGCTGGATGGACTATTCTGTTTCCTTTCTTCTTCTCCCCCCAGTTTCATGTTCATCTTTGATATATTTTGGGTCTAGGAGCAAATTGTAGCATATATACTGCATGGGATGCATGGACTGGCGGGACAGTGTTATCCTGCTTTCTCTTTACCCAGTCTTAGCTCCATCTAACTACTGTTGACCAGTATTTGCCGCCTTATGTGTCTTCCTCTCTCATGTCTCTTTTATAGATCGTTCATAATAGCCTATCCGTCTGTGCTGACTCAGCAAATAAATCGAGGCTGTTGAAAGAGCACCGCGAGATGTGAAATACTCGCGTATATGCCAAACTTCTCGAAAGATCAATCTTTAAACCATACATCATCATACAAGTCTTTTGATGGGAACAGTTGCAACTGCGCGACCATTTTGAAGTTAATAGTTGAGCCTACTCACGCTGCTCCTCATCACGCGCATCAAAACCGAGCCTTGCTTAGCCTCTGAACCCGGAGCCGAAGATAGAAGAAGCGCATTCAGCAAGCCCGGGACCTCCCTTTTAGAGAAACTATAGATCAGCTGTGAGGAGCCATAGCTATGTCCCTCCAGTCCTACATCAACAGTTCGTTGACCCTCTCCTACAAACCCGCCTACCCCTCTATTAGACGCAGGCGACAAATTTCTCGAACAACACACTAACGCAATGCGTTTTCCTGTATAGAAAAAATTCTCGTCCTTACGGTTGACGGCCGCACATTAATAGGAACGCTCCTATCAACAGACCAACTTACAAACCTCGTCCTATCCCAAACAATTGAGAGAATAATCCGAACGCCAGATGACCCTGAGCCTAGCACGGAGGTAGAGCACGGTCTTTACCTGATACGAGGGGATAATGTTGTTATCTGTGGAGAGGTCGACGAGGAGATTGATGGTAAAATAGACTGGTCAAAGGTCAAAGGGGAGGTTGTCAGGAATACTAAGAATGCTTGATGGGCTATTATGAAACCATGAGTCGAGGAGCAATCCAAGGCTGGCATTCGGCGGTGTTAAAAAATTAGAATGGCAGCACAGCGGCGAGGCAACTGTTGAGTTGATATTGATACCCTATTTAGAGCCGTTGTTCCATCAGTTTGCCTGTGACGCGGTGCTTCTGCCCAGAAGATGGGGACAGAGACTAGGGCAGCCTTCTCATTCCATATCCAATTGAAATGAGCTTGGATTGTATCCAAGTATTGGGTAGACGGGACAAGTCTAGGGGACTGTCTATCGCCATTTATTTCGGGCCCACAGCATTCTAATCACGTCGAAATAACCTGGGAGATGTTATGTGAGATATCGAGCGTCTGCAATGAGATGGAGTTCAGGACATTTTAAGCAGAAATATAGTCATGTTTACCCTGTTCCTTTTTGATTCCATCTCTAACTTACGAACGCCAAGGCATCAAATGTACCAGATGGTTTGTTTCATTGAACTTGTTTCCCCCATACTTGCACCCGACCCATGCGAACTCCTGGCATTGGTTTATCTGAAGGAGGTGGAATTGTTCACCTGCAGTCACCCTTGTTGAGATTTATATTTGATATATGACTGCATCATGCGAAGCGTATCACTCTCTGTGGCGTGAAATCATGATGCATGACGAGCAAACGATATTTTTCCAGAAAACAGCATGTCGACGAATATATCGACGGCCAAACTTCAATACATCGATGAAAATTATAGCTCTGGCTCACCAGCTTGTTCATGGTTACACTGCCGAAAGCTCAGTGTGTCGAGTTGTGAGTAGCTTGTGCGTCGGGCTTTGGCTACCGATATAGAGTCATGAGCATGGCATCTAAGTAACCCTCAGGGCGGTCTGTACGTTCAATGCCACAGTGGTCAGGCTCCCAACAGCGACTGGTCAGTCCTGGCTTAAGTAGAATACAGTTTGCATCCTAGTCATATGAGAGTAGACATGTCAAGCCGAGGATGCAAGCCAAAAGCGGCCAGCAGTCCTCTGCATCAGCCTGTCGGGTCCTTAGGGAACAAACCATGCAAGAAGAGGGCATGATGTTTGGCTAGAGCGACTTAAGCAAGCTCATGAAAGAAGCTTTTCTCGATCTACCCGTCTTCTCATGGGGGTGCACACAGAGAGTCGGGAGGGATCACCGCTCGAGATGCGGGATGTGGGCATGCAGACGTTGAGACCACGGCGTCGCTGCATGTGGAGAGTTACGACTTTTTGATATGTCAAGTTGTTAGATAGTCCCATTTCTTTAGACTGAATTCTTCTTTTTTAGCGTTTTGATTTCTTGCCCTTGCTTAAAGCACGTTGTGGGGGAGGTACCCCAAAGTACCAAGAAGTATACCTTTATTTGAAGTAATAGACTGCCCGCATATATAGTAGCTGTGAACTTCACTGCTGTTATAGAAGACCTTTCAATTGGTTTGATATATGTTTGATTCTGGGTGTTGTTCATTGTGAACGTTGTATCTAGGAGAAGGTAGGGTTGGAGTTGGGCGTATTTTTTGTAAAGGAAGAAGGAGCCAGCGGTTGGTACTCTTACTCTGCGTGTCTAGATACATGCCTTCCCGATTCACCATTACTGTAAACCAGGGAGGAAGGAAGAAGCAGTTTTCTATATAGTGGCCGAAGGGTAATATATATACTATATACTTCATCTTGCCCGAGTCTCAGGGAATCGCGGGCCCGTCACTCATAAAAAGGCAACGGAGAAGCAATTGAGATATATACTTTTTGGGACTCTCATTAACTTAGTATTTAGCTAACCGCTATTTTGTTTATCAGCTGTGCATTTACATCTCTGAGGCTAGGCTAGGCCATTTAAGTAGCTGTCAGCCTCGTCACCAGCCGACATCATGCACAGTTCTCAGCTCGCACAAAGCACGCGTAATCTGGTGACGGACTTACGTGGACGACAGTATGTAGGATGATAGCCGAGCATGCACCAAAACGGTCAGGCAGGATAGAGTAGTGATTGATAAAGACGTGCTCGACATATGTCCGTCAAATTCAAAATTGAAGGAGGCCATCTCTTCCTAGATAAACCCCGCCGTTAGAACGTCAGAATTACCAACGCCGTTTATGCGTGTTAACTGTTCACCCCATCTCTCGTCTGGCCGCGTGTACGTCCCCGTATTGATCTCGTCTACCGGGCGGTACTTGGAGTGACCAAAACCCCAGAAGCGCGCTTGGCGCACGTCAAAGAAAGTCTTCACCTAATTGGATCGCCCAACGCGACGCTAGACCAAACGGGGATACTGTGGGTACAGTGGGGCCGCGGCGCCACTTCCTAGGCCTTGGCGAGCTTGGCACCCCGTGGCCCGGTTGGGCAGCCACAAGG